AACTCCCATCTGCACCTGCTGTTTAATCTTTCATGACACACCATTGTAGATGCAACCCTCCTAAACTCTAAACTCTAAAGGCATGGGTAAGCCCCCCGGAACAAACTAGCGGATAACATGTCGATCCCATTGATCCTCCTCCAACCTGAGACATGTTGGGTAATCCCCTCCCCCAAACATTAAACCCCCCCACCCCCCTATTAAATACTCCCATTATGTGGTATATTTAAATACATTGGGAGTAATGAATCTTCAATATTAGCAGCTTCTGCATACAAAACGAATCCCACTTTTTGCGCTTGCGTGTGCCCTCCGATACCCTCCGTCTAATAAACGAAATGTGCCGCACGTCACACTATCTAAACTCTATAAACTATAAATGGAAAGCTTGAAGACGGGACATCAAGCTGCAAGTTTGGTCGATTTTCCGCTGAGGTTGCCTGGTCGCTTAATAGAGAACCTGATTATCATGAAAAGTCATTGCTTTACCAGCCCTAAACCTACCTGGACCTAGAGTATTCTAATCAACCTTGCAAGGAAAAGCTCTGTACCTAATACTGCAATACCCCTTGCTTTACATAGGAATAGGCGGTTGTAGGTAGCTTTGGGAACGGGGTTTTGAGGTGGAATCCCCATAGTGGAAAAAGGTGCACTGGCAGTACAGCCGAATATTCATGTTTCATATCACACCTGGACCAAACCCTGATTCTTCTGCATGTTCCACATCCGGTGATCACAGTTGATTCAGCGTTTCAGGTGGGAAGGCCGCTACTTGCTAAAGGTTGGAACCCAGAATTATGAACCCGTCTTAGTAGAGATTCTTTTTGGAATATATTCTAGAAGTATTATATAATTATATAAGAATTTTATTCCCATATACCTGACTAAGCAATTGTAAAAAAAATGTACGCCGTAAACCCTGATCTATACATCCAAAACTCTGAAGCTTGAAACACCTAATGTGGCCACAACTGCGCTGTGAATACTGTACCAGTTCTGAATTCTGATTGGATACCCTAAGCCCTAAACCCGATAACTACCTTGAATTTCCAAGCAATGCGAGCCAAGGATCTCTCCGAAACACCTAACGTGGGCCCCAAACCTGGGTCCTTGTTAGGTGGCCACTCAGCATCCCTCCACGTCCCTACCTGACAGTCAAAAAATGTAGGTTTGTAACCTTGGGGTCCCAAATGCCCTAATGGAGGATCCCAACACAACGCTACAGACCCTAAAGGCGCAAGGCAAACTCCCTGAGACTGGATATAGAATTTACAGATTGTATGGGGGTTTGAGTTTGGATCATTCAAGAAGTGAGGTTTTCGTTCAGGTTGGAAGTCTTAAGGAATACCAGGCTTTAGATCTTTTACATTGGTGGTTACTTCTCCCTTCGCCGCACAACTTGCTGGAATCTCATCTTCGACCTGTTGGTAATCCTGTCGCAGCCCCGAAAACCCATGCAATGAGTAAACGAATTTCCGAAGTTGAAGCTGCCAGCATACCTCTCCCGTTAAAATTGGGGATAATAAGAGCATTAGTGGAACTCAGTTTTCATTATCTCAATCTCTTGCCACAACCTCTTCAATCTTCAACCCTCCCCACAAATTTGGATGTTCACAGTTGCGACTCTCAAGCATACTGACGTGTTTCACTTGCCTTTTGGGGTTTAATGCTTCGGGATTATTTTTTTTACAAGGAATGTGTTCTGTACCCCAGGCAACACATATGCCATTTGACAGCCCAGTTTCTGCTCCGTCAAGGTACTTCATCAAATTGCTCGCTGACTTCACACCATGTTTCACAAGCTCGGCATCCGTCAAAGCAGGTATGGCCTGATTGTTCATGTCATCGAATTCCGCATAGACAAGGTCATTGCAGCTGTTGTATGTTTTGGTCTTGTTCCCAGTGTACACCACCTTGGTGTAAACGTATTCTGCCAAAATGGTATTCATCTGCCGCATGTAAGACTATGAAACATATGGCAAATGTACTGAAAACATGTATCGACAAGTTAAGGTTTTAGCCAGAACAGAACTAAAGGCTTTTGCCCAAACATTTTCGTGCAGCGCAGGTGCTGTGTATGTCTCGGCGGAAGATTGTGATTCTTGGCGCCGGACCATCCCATCGCCCAAAATTTTGGCCTCCTGTGGGTCAGCGTCGCGCACAGGCCGGTCATACCTGGTTAAGGTTTCAAGCGGTGTAAATTCTATGGGATTAAACAATTTTAATGTCGCGCCAGCTAGACAATTGCCACATCCCACGTATCATGTGGGGCCCAATGGACTGCAATGGTCCAATAAACACATGCATGGCATACGAAAGCTTAATGGGAAGATGAATGAATGAACAATCCCTGTATGTTTTAACGTGCACCACGCTGACCTGCCCATGGCGCAGAAGGTTGCAGGCAGTTTGTCAAATGATGGAAACTGGTTCCCTTCCTCGAAAACGCTGAGTGTCAATAGTTCGTCGCTGATCGGCGACGGTCCCCTGAGAGGCCACCTTACTCGAAATTGCACGGTCTGTTTCCTCATCAAGCCATTTGCAAACCATGCCAACAAATAATTGTGCATGCTCATCACGTGATACAGCACAACCCTGTGGTTGTGGGACGTCTCAACCTCCGACACTGCTTCAACCAGTTCATCCGGATCGTTTCCAGCGAAATGTTTCGGTGTGGCATACACACGAAAGTCTGCCGCTGACACTTCGGCATCCACACGGTTCACACGGATTACCGCCTGGACCACCAGAAAAATGATGGTAAACATGCTGGCATCATATGCAAAGATGGTGAGCAAACAACTACCACTGGAGAAGCGCTGCTTGTACTGTGAAACTCGAACCAAAACAAAGCATCCACATGTCTCTGCCGCTTCATTCCGACAGCCTCAAAATCATGAATACAATAATGAAATTGTTGGGACAATTTACTGTGTTGACATTAGTCAACGCAAAACGTAAAGCGGGATTCTACCGCATGCAGGGTTTGATTTTGGAAGCTAGCGGGGCATGTTTCATTTGAATGTGGTAATACTGTTACTTGCTTGCACATCTCCAATCCGAATTCTTTTGGAAGCCAATACAAAAAAAAAACTCACTGTCTTGGAATAAAGAAACAAGATGGGCAACAGGGTACGAAACCAGCCAACAAACGTGTGCTCCATGAGTTTCCCGAAAATCGTCTGAAAATGCCAACACGCATCGCGCAATGTGCACATATGCAAACGCTCCAGTTTTGCTGACAGCTACGAACTTTTCCAACTCGGAAAACATCCGCTGTACAATATGGAAATTGACAGCCAGAAACATGCTCATGAAAAGAAACGGTGAATGCAACAACACTTTGATTGTCCAATGAATATCCCCTGTTCGCAGTCACTGTCGGCTATTTGACCCTGGGCGCTGCCTCCTCGTGGCATCATCCACTCGATACATCATCACATCTCGATACAGCACGCCGACAAAACAAAGTCAAATCGACACACTGAACTCCCAAACATACATTGTGCCAAAGCAAGCTACGAAACCGCAGCCGACCTCTGCTTGTTGGGCAGCAATGCATTTGAAGCAGCCTGGGGCGCTGTCAAGACTTGTCGTACTGTAGAAATGTCATATTGGAGCTTCCCAAAACTTAGCAAATTCTTTGGTCTTGATTCCAGCCAACGGGTGGACGAACGAATGAACGAATGCGTGAACGAATAAGCGAGCTGCATCCACACTGGGCTGGTTGGCTCCGAAGACGTCCTCACCCCATCCACTTGGAATGTTTTGCGCCTCCCAAATTCCAAAACCGTGTAGCAGGGCAATCACCGCAGGCCCCACTAAAAGCAGGGGTCGCCTCAGCCACTGACCAGGGCCATGTCGCGATATCTTTAAGTTTAAGTTTTGCAAGCTGCAAGACGGAGCTTCAAGACTAAGCTGTTCAAAGGAAAAAAAAAGCCTATCAAATGTGGGTTGTAAAAGAAATACCAAGTTTCAACCTTTTTCATCACTGCCATATTCGCAGGGGGTGGGGTGGGGGGGGTGTGTGGGGTGGGGGTGAGGAGCGGGTGGGGGTGTGGGGGATCACGGATCACACACACATGCTATTCTGGATGGGGCTGCGTTGGCCGAAGATTCACATGGCTGCCTACAGCTTTACCCAACCAAACAAATCCTTTTGGCGCTGCATGCCATCTAGCTACAGCCTGACTCGCCCACGCCAAGGCAACCGTGGAAGTGGACTTGATGGTCCTTGTGTTCCCTGTCACTGCTTGACTTGCCCAAGCAGAAGTGGCCTGGAGGGGACTTGATGGGACTTTTGTGCCCGGAGCCGCCAAGGCGATCATGGCAGAGCAGCTGGTTGCATGCCATGGAATTGCAGCAGCATTTGCCTTGGCACGCGAAAACACATGACTTGTCATTTGTTGTAGGTAATAGTCCGCGCTGCCGCTGCTGTCAGGGTGGTGGTGGTGGTGGTGGTGGTGGTGGTGGTGGTGGTGGTGGTGGTGGTGGTGGTGGTGGTGGTGGTGGTGGTGGTGGTGGTGGTGTAGCAGGTGAGGTGGCTGAAGCAACGCTGTCGTCTTGGAAGGTTCTGGACGCATACTGCAGGACGTGACAAAGTAACGAACGCGACGCCACGCCCTGCGCCGCTGATCAGAGTGGTTGCAGAGCAAGGACACAAAGCGAGGATCGGCACCAGACGCTGCGGGCAACTGCAATAGAGAGTGAAGTGGTGAAGTTCTCCGCCCCGAGCCTTAGCGAGCACGCAATTCTTAGACGTGCGTTTCGACTAAAAGACATGTGCTGCGGGTTTGCAAGGACTGGCGCGTCGGTCGAAGTTACAATGACTTACCCTGTGCTTACTACCCACTGGACAGGACTAAACACACACAAAATACAGCTGACAAGTAACTACACCGAAGTGAAGTAGCCGAGTTTTGGAAGCCAGTCATTCACCAAAAATTTGGCCGAGCAAGTATATATCTAAAATAGTAATCACGCAATCAAATCGGAATCAATCTGATCAAAAGCAACTGCAAGTCGCAAGATGCATCAGTGCAAAAACTCAAAAGCCGCATCATTAAAACTTGGCAATCACTGGGACCTCACATTTTCATTCCAGAAGCTGATTCATCCGAAGGTTTTGTGAAAGCAGTGGGGTGTTACTAAGGGCGCCAGCCGCGCCCATAGTCAGGAGCTAGCACACCGCAACTGCAACTCCAAGTCCCCCAGAGTTGGGTGGGTGGGTGGGTCACAAAAATTTTGTTGTTGTTACAGCTCGCGCTGAGCCACAACTCAACAGAAACCATCCACTCAACAAGTTCTCTCATGTCAAGAAAATCAGAAATGAAAATCAAAGCACGAAAGTTCATGCAATGAGTCTCGAATTTTGGGCAAAGACGGGTAGTGGCACACCAAACCACCCACCCACATGACATGCTCCAAAACTCTCTTTGCACTTTGCATCGCCACGTCTGTGAAAGACGCATTGTGCCGCGTGTCGGGCAAGCAGTGCTCGGCCACTCAAAGCAGCTATGCCTAAGGCACACCCTGAAATCTCTACCACGCAAGAAAGCTGTACAGCTATCCGTATGGTAGCGCAAAAGAGGCCCGGGCCGTGGCCCTAAGCAGCCTGACAGGAAACTAAAGATTGGCAGCAGCGCTGCAGCGCTGCAAAGAGCATAGCAACTAGGCACCACTCAACTACGTATCGCGAAGCGATAGTGTGGAGCCAGTGACACATCTCCGAAGGAAACAATCAGTGATTCCAAACTAAAGCGTCACACTCACACACACACAGGCAAGCGCATAGGAGCGCAGCACACAAACCGTGCGCTCGTCAAGTTTGCAAAGGCACTGCCAACAGCACAGCTATGTAACAGGTGTCTAGTTAATGCATTGCAGGCCACGGCGTCCGCAGCGGTTAATCTCAAGTTGGCCTAGACAGCAGCTAGAGCTTAACTGCGCGGAGTTTACATAGCCTACGCACGCACAACTCCAAAGAAGACTGATGGGAGGCATGAGGCCACAGCGATACTACGGGCTCGAAGTGAGTCATAGCTAAAATGCACGGGTCGTCACCTCTCTACATGACGTTCCCTGTCCTCGCTGTTGAGCCTGTCCGAAGGATCGATGCGATATCCAATAAGGAGCAGGTAGGTGGCATGCAAGCGTCTGGGCCAGAGCAGCGTGCAGGACCTCGCGCACATTACCAGACTGGCCATTGGGGTCAAGAAAAATGCTGCCTCGCCGGTCCTCAACCCATGTGCCTCCTTGCTGGAAATGTTGGAAGCAGTGGGCGAGTTGAGTGTATCACAATGCATGTTGCTGGCAATGTTGCGCACCAAAGTGAGAGAGGAGAAGGAGCGCCCGTGAACATATGAGCGAACTATGCAGGCCAGCAACGCACTGGTGTTGGAAAATCCCGCATGTTACGCATTAATCCTACGTTGGGGCCAGGGGCCATGGGCGTATGCGCCCGTGTTGAAGCCTGGCAGGAAGCTGTATCCATGACCAGGTATGCTTTGAATCGGCCCCCTGAGTGAGGCAGCACGTCAAGCAAATCCGAGACCTGCCGCCCAGCTACAAAGCCCGCAGGAGGTCCCTTGCACGTGCCTCAGGACATGTTAACGTAGAATGATCTGCAAATCGGAGGTCAACCTTCTCAATATTGATACCCAAATCACTGACACTAGACCACACAAGCGACGCAGTGGGTGAGTATGGCAGGGACGTGTCCGCATCCACGGCCGGACACCGGCTGCCAGCAGGGGATCATTGCTCCAATTCTTCATCTGACTCCGCATAGTTGGAAGATGCCTGGTGATAGTCTGCTTCTTCGTCACGCAAACATGATGCTGCGCTGCAGGATACACCAAGCATCGAAGGAGCTTCCAAAGCAAGTAGTTCGTCCCACTCCGAGGCTGCGCAGTCACAGAGCCATAGAGGTCATGATGCAGTTCGCATGGGCCCCGCGACGTCGATGATCGCCTTCTGCTGCACAGACGATCAGCATGACGAACCAGGCACATAGTAGCATGGCAAGCTTGGCAAGTCAACACAAATCAAGTAAGAGGTAGCCTCTAGCTGCAAAGCTACTCTGGAGGTACCTTCGAGCGTAGCCGGTTATCGGCTAATTTTGGCACCCTAAAACAGGGCCCTGCAAGCGTGCTGTTTTCAAGGTTTGTGCAACCGAATAATTCTGCGGCAGCAGCTCTACAACTTGCTGCTCCAG